TATTTGTTTGCTATGCAGGGTGGTCAGAATCATATCAAGCAGCAGAAATACTCTAATAAATCAGAATCTGCGCATTTACATATGCCTTCAGCTCATCAATCAGGCAAAATGTCTTACTCTGATTTGGGTAAGAGTAATGGAGGTGGCTCAGACCTGAACAACTCATCCTTGGTAGCTGATAGGCAAGCTGAACTACAAAAGTCTGCCGTTCCTACAAATAATTCGTACTTGAAGGGATCGCCTACATCCACTCTTAATGGTGGAAGTGGTTTGCCTGCTCAGTATCAGCACATTGATGGTATGCAAAACTATGGGTTAAGTGGTTACTCGTTGAATCCATCTTTGGCCTCTGTCATGGCTGGCCAACTTGGTGCTGGTAATATGCCTCCATTATATGAAAATGTTGCTGCAGCATCAGCTATGGCAGTTCATGGAATGGATTCAAGAGTGCTTGGAGGAGGTTTGGCTGCTGGACAAAATCTTAACGCTGCATCTGACTCACATAATCTCAGTAGAATTGGGAGTCAAATGGCTGGGGGTGCTGTTCAGGCCCCTTTTGTCGACCCAATGTATCTCCAATACTTGAGAACATCTGATTATGCTGCTCAGCTTGCAGCTCTTAATGATCCCTCGGTGGATAGGAACTTTCTCGGCAATTCATATATGAATCTACTTGAACTCCAGAAAGCTTATCTTGGAGTTCTGCTTTCACCTCAGAAATCACAGTATGGTGCTCCATTAGGCAGTAAGTCTGGTGGTCCTAATCATCATGGTTATGGTGGAAGTCCTGCATTTGGGCTTGGTATGTCCTATTCTGGCAGTCCTTTGGCAAATCCTGTTATTCCAAACTCCCCAGTGGGACCTGGTAGTCCTATCAGACACAATGAGCCAAACTTGCGTTTTTCTGGGATGAGGAACTTAGCTGGTGGGGTCATGGGACCGTGGCATTTGGATGGAAGTATGGATGATAGCTTTGGGTCTTCTTTGCTAGAAGAGTTCAAGAGCAACAAAACAAAGTGTTTTGAACTTTCAGAAATTACAGGCCATGTCGTCGAGTTCAGGTATGTAGTGCTCTAAAATCATCTCCTTCTCCATTGTTATGCTGCAATCCTAAATTTATTTGTTTCTGCAAAAATCCTTTATGAGCAGTGCGGATCAGTATGGGAGCCGATTTATTCAACAAAAACTTGAGACAGCCACAACGGAAGAGAAGAACATGGTTTATCAGGAAATCATGCCTCAAGCTCTTGCTTTGATGACTGATGTATTTGGTAATTATGTCATTCAGAAGGTATCCATATGCGTACTTTGTTGTTGATGGATCTTAATTTCTTTGTTACATATTTGATTGAATTTACATAATTGATATCCGTATATGTCTGCAGTTTTTTGAGCATGGGCTTGCATCTCAGCGGAGAGAGCTTGCAAGCAAGCTTTTTGGTCATGTTTTAACCCTTAGCCTTCAAATGTATGGTTGCCGAGTGATCCAGAAGGTAACATTAGTTTGCAACTTCCTTACATTGTGATTGACCTTCTCATGTGTTGTAATTCTTTGTATGTGTATGTTTATTCTCATGACCTGCAGTTTTTCAATAGTACCATGAGAAATTTGCCACAGCTCTATGAAAGAATTAATGCTAACTGAACCAAGACTGACTGATTAGAAGTTGAATCTATTGAAGGTTCTTACTGTAATATGTTTCATTTAATTGTCAGGCCATAGAAGTTGTTGATCTGGATCAGAAAATCAAAATGGTTGAAGAGCTTGATGGTCATGTGATGCGCTGTGTGCGTGACCAGAATGGGAACCATGTCATCCAGAAGTGTATTGAATGTGTTCCTGAAGAGAGTATTCAATTTATTGTCACAACATTCTTTGATCAAGTTGTTACCCTTTCCACCCATCCTTATGGGTGTCGTGTGATACAGGTTGAGAAAATGTTTGCAGCTATATTTTACTTCTGAATGCTCGATTAGAAGAAAATATAGGTTCTTTAATTCTAAATTGTTATTGCTTTCTTGTGGCAGAGAATACTGGAGCACTGCGAGGACCACAAAACTCAAAGTAAGGTTATGGATGAGATCTTAGGAAATGTCAGCAACTTGGCACAGGATCAGTATGGCAATTATGTTGTTCAGGTTTGTACAACTTCCTAGAAACTTCCATTGTGAAATCCTGTTTGTTGTTATTGTTATGGGTTCATAAAAAAAATTAGTTTTCAGGTGTTTTGGTATTTGCCTTTTGAGATTTTGTCTAGTTGAGTTTTGGGGTTATGTCTTGTGTTATTTGTCCCCTGAAGTATCTTCTAAGAGCTGGACAAACTGATGACAAATTTCCTGAGTTTGATGTGACCTGGGCATAAAGGGAACAAATATACAATTAGCTTGTGTCAATTATCATACTATATGCTCTTTAGATCTCTTTTCTTTACCTTGATTGATATCTGAAATTGATTCAACAGCATGTCCTGGAGCATGGGAAGCCACATGAGCGATCTATTATAATTGAGGAATTAGCTGGGAAGATAGTTGAAATGAGTCAGCAGAAATTTGCTTCCAATGTTGTTGAGAAGTGTTTAACATTCGGTGGCCCTACTGAACGTCAGTTACTGGTGAATGAGATGCTTGGCTCTACTGATGAAAATGAGCCTCTTCAGGTATGTCAAATTCTTATGAACTTTTAGTAGCTACAGTGACTTGTCTGTTTAACTGTCACCAAAGTACAGTTCTGCAATATTTTCAAAATTTCCCAAACTTGCGTTTGACATAAATGAATGAAAAGGTTAAATGGCTAATTTGGACTGAATAATGATAATAATTTCAGAAGAAGTTGAAGCTTCATTTTATCTGGCCGATGCCCCTGAAAGTTCTTTAAGAAACTGGATTATTATGTTCAGTCAGTGACATTTTTATTAATTGTGCTAGCTCTTGTAAGCTGCTTTTTGGAATTAGTATTGCTTTTAATTTGTGATGAGGTATCAGCTTCTTAAGTAGTTGGCTTTAGAGAGACATGTAGGTTGATGTCATGTTCTGCAACCTAGTGATTCCTGCTTGTCTTTGATGAGAGGAGAGAAGGAAAACCAATTGCTGATATTTTACGTGTTTTTTTTTTAAATCTGATATTGTAGTTATATATGGTTAGTTTCAGCTAGTTGCTATTATTTATTCTTGTCTTACAGGCAATGATGAAAGATCAGTTTGCAAACTATGTTGTTCAAAAAGTTCTGGAGACTTGTGATGACCAACAGCGTGAGGTGATCCTTTCACGAATTAAAGTTCATTTGAATGCTTTAAAGAAGTACACTTACGGAAAGCATATTGTTGCACGTGTAGAAAAACTTGTTGCTGCTGGGGGTACTCATTCTTTCCCTGTTAGATTACATTTTTTTAGATAAGAAGTAAGAATTTACTAGTTTGCTATATGTCGGCTGGTGACCTAACATATATGGGAAGCACCCTGGATGTGATTAGACCTGTTGGTTATTGATTCTTGACCTATTGTTTTAAGGTCACTTCTTCTAGAGCATACCGGGTGCATGACTGATTATATTAGTGATTATATTCATATTGACTTGTTCCGTCAAATGTTGGTGAAGATTTCATGTTGACCGTATCAGTTGATTCTTTTGTTTTTAAGTCCACTAACTTGTCAACTAATTTGTCTGCAGAAAGGAGAATTGCTGCTCAGTCTTCACACCCTGCTTAAAGTGGCATAGTAAAGAAAGGTGTTTGTACAGCTAACTGAGGCTAGTGTGAGCTTCCTCTTTTCCTCTTTCTTTCTTCTGGTATTTAGAGCTATGACTCTTACCTATCTTTTAAAGATGGGTGGGTACAAGCCAATCGGAAATAAAGTTGTTGGTTGTACTTGAAACTGTACATTGTGTAGTTTACGGTTTATACATAGAGTCGAGCAAGCTGAGGTTCAGATGTTGAGTACACCTGATGCCCCTGCAGAGGAGATAAAAATGACATATACAGGTTTTGAAGGGTGTAAAAAATGATTAAATGTTATTGAGGTAGTTTTAAGTTTATATCATAACGTGACTGTACAAAAATGTTGCCATGTGGAGAGCTGTTGATGTTTAGTTGAGGCGGAATTGTTTTTATTGTATGGTTAATGACTTCTCTTTCTTTTCCCTTAAAAAAGAACATTTTTCTTCTTAGATTCTGATGCTTCTGATTTATTACTTGATTATGCATATGGCGTGGCCTTAACCAGGCCTATGTATGTGAGATGGCCTCAACTCAACTGTCTTTCTTCATCTCTTCAATCTTTTATTTTGCATGAATTTAGCGTATTCATTGGGGATATGTTAGGCTGCGTTTTGAAGAGAACCTGCCTCTTTTGAATGTTGAGGCATCAACAGATTATGGATTTGTGATTAAACGCTAGAACATTGGTAAGTGGGGTGTCAGCATATCCCAAGAGTTTCCTCTTGTAAGCACCATATCATTGGGTGTTTAAGATCAAGACTATATAGTTAACCAACAGATATGTAATGTAAGTTGATTATAATGAGGTCAAGTGACTACAAACAAATTAAGCTTCTCCCAGAAGCAATGCCTTTGAATGTTTTACACGCTTTCTCCAAACAATTCTTAGGTTATTTCCTTCGGAGTTGGTTCATTCTTGAGTCTGAGTTGGCCAGCCTTACCAAACAAGCTGGATCTAATTTGAAATGTAGCAGTTCATTTGATTTCCTTCATCAAATGCTTCTCATACAATGGAAGATGGAACCTCCATCTACGTATATTCATATTGGTATCAAGGTGAATAGCAATAAAATCCACCAAGAACCTTCATTGATCTTCAAACTCAATGTAAACAATGATTTTCGACAAAAGAAAGCTGTTAATAAGACCAACTCCCTTACATTTTAATTCGCTCGTTGCTGTCAATTCATACCCCAGAAAACAGTATAATCTACTGTAGCTGCGGGAGTTCAATGGAAATAAATTTTACAACAAAAGGATACAAGTAAAGTAACGCTGCGTCAACATTTGAAGAAGCAAATACCAAGTTTGTTACATTTCATAATCAAATGATCCCAACTGGGGATTTATATTTTACGGCCTAAACAACTTCTCCAGTTGAAACCAATTACAGGTCAAGAAGCAAAATCATTGATCCTAGGCATGATCGATTAACTGAGAGACCAATAAAATACATTCTATACAGCCAAAGATTTCACAACTCTCAATAATGACTTAAAATTGAATCTGAGTTACAAAGACAATGAGAAGCTTACTTGATCATCAATCGCCATTCCTGATCAATCATCATCAAAATCATCAATCTTTTGCCCAAACCCTTTTGGCCCAGCTCTGGCTCTCACCTTCACCTTCTTTCCACCCTTCTTCTTCTTCTTCTTAGCTGCCTCTTCTTTCTCAAACTTGTCTTTCTCCCTCTTCTGCAACAAATCTGTCACTGCTATGTAGACTACCTGTATGAAAAAAAATAAACAATTTAAGGATTAAATACAGCAATAACCCTCACCCCAAAAATGACAACTTTATTTCATTATTGGTATAATAGTCTGAAAAGAAAAACAAGCGAAGAAGCGAAGTTACCCCAATGGTGAGAATGGTTAGAGCAATAAAAGCAACGAAAAGAAGAATCGATATGATGTTGGAGACACCATCATCTCCNTTGATCATCAATCGCCATTCCTGATCAATCATCATCAAAATCATCAATCTTTTGCCCAAACCCTTTTGGCCCAGCTCTGGCTCTCACCTTCACCTTCTTTCCACCCTTCTTCTTCTTCTTAGCTGCCTCTTCTTTCTCAAACTTGTCTTTCTCCCTCTTCTGCAAGAAATCTGTCACTGCTATGTAGACTACCTGTATGAAAAAAAATAAACAATTTAAGGATTAAATACAGCAATAACCCTCACCCCAAAAATGACAACTTTATTTCATTATTGTTATAATAGTCTGAAACGAAAAACAATTGAAGAAGTGAAGTTACCCCAATGGTGAGAATGGTTAGAGCAATAAAAGCAACGAAAAGAAGAATCGATATGATGTTGGAGACACCATCATCTCCAGTTGAAGACACAATCTGCTCAGAAGTCTCAAGTGCGGTGGATTCGGAAGGCAAAACTTGTTCAGAGGTAGCATTGCTCCTCCGAAATTTGTCGTTTTTTTGAGGAATTCTATGACTTGGAGAGAGAGTAGTGGATAAGTATAGAGGGGAGGAAGTGAAAGGTAGACACAAGTTGTGGGTGTTAAGAGAATGGCAAGGTTTTGGCTTGGAAATGGAGAGGATTAATGGTGGTGGAGATAGGGATACAGATGTAAGAGCCATGGCTCATCTGCCACCACTTACACAGTCTGCTGCCGTGGCAAAAAGCTTCCACCACTTTCAACTTAGAAGCAGATAGATTAACTGTGTCAAGTAGTAAAAATCTCAGAACCAATCACAGGAGATGAAGAAGGTTTGGGTTGGGCCAACGTTCGGATGCTGAGTCCAGTTATCGAACCCAAACCAAATTATAATCAGTTCACCATTTCTCCACGTTTCCCACTTTCTTTTCCTTTTTTCACACTATCATTCACCATCCAACGGTTCATACTTCATCTCTGCGCCGTCTCAATTTCTCCACGTTTCCCACTTTCTTTTCCAGCTGTCAACCAACATTTTCTCTTTTTTATATTCTATTGTTCTATCCACTTAAAGTTAAAGGGCAGCCTAGTCGGTGTTATAATATTTCACCTCTCAATTTACCTATATACCCTCCCTTCACAACCCTTTTACTTCTGTTAAATATATCACTGATTCCAAAAAACATATTAAAAAAATATAGTTATAAATATCTAAGATAGAGACATGCCCATTACTAAATAGAATTGGGCATTTCAGTAATCTTTCTCTTTAATCTAGTACAGTCGGTTCTCTTTGTCAAGTAATGAACCAAGTGCGTGGCAGAATATTATTGGAATAGAGGTAAAATATACACAGTGGCGATCAAATGCTCCGAGATTGAGCTATAAGAAGTGTGATATTGATATCAAGATAGATATTTAGAGGATCAAAAATATCTGGCTAAGTCGTCCACGTTGGCACCCAGTACAAGATCGATCTGGATTCTATATTGCACTTTTTCTCTTCTTTTCTCAAATTTTTTACACCACCTAGAAATTTTCACTATTCATTTTCTTCTCCAAATCTCTATCCTCCCAAACACCTCCCTAAAATCTCTCTCCCACATAAGTAACCCCAGATCCGACTTCCAAAACGACTAAAAACTTCCTAATCAAATGGGCGAAGAGGTTCGGATGACCGAGTATGAACCTGACGCCAAGAACAACGACGACGACGACAATAACGCTGACGAAGAGAGAATACTTGAGTGGGAGCTGGGCTTACCTAACGGAAACGATCTAACTCCGTTATCCCAGTCGTTAATTCCGCTGGAGCTCATGACGGCCTTCAGTATCTCTCCGATGCAACACCGTACCCTCGTCGAGGTCAATCGCGAGTCTCAGAACACGCTATCATCGCTACGTGGCAGCCAGACGCACGCTCTCTCCTCCACTAACAACAACATCAAGTCGTCCACCGAAACGCGTGACCCAACGGTTCTGGAACCCGACGAGACCGACCAAAACGGGTCGGGATCCGACTCTCGGAAATCCCGTAAACTGGACTGTACGGAGGAGGCCGACTCGGCTTTGAGGACGGACAATTCGAACAACGACGAGGATCCGTCTGCGAGGACGCTCAAACGGCCGCGTTTGGTGTGGACACCGCAGCTTCACAAGCGTTTCGTGGACGTGGTGGGCCACCTAGGGATAAAAAACGCGGTACCGAAGACGATCATGCAGTTGATGAACGTTGAAGGCCTGACACGCGAGAACGTGGCGAGTCATTTGCAAAAGTATCGGTTATATTTGAAACGGATGCAGTGTTTGTCGAACGACGACCAGTCTTCTTCTGACCATCAATTGTTCGCGTCCACGCCGGTTCCACCGCAGTGTTTACATTATGAGAGCGGTGGAAATAGTAATAATAATAACAATAATAGTAATAATAACGGAAATGGACACGTGGCGGTTCCGATGCCCGGGTCGTATGGTGCGCCACCGGCTATGATGTCGATGCCGGTTTACGGGATGATGAACCAGGGGTTTCACCACCAGGGGCATGGGTTCGACCCGAGCATGTATAATATGAGCATGAATATGAATATGAATATGAATATGGGGATGAATAATATGCTGCAACAGAGGGATTGGTCTGTGAATAAGCACGGGGCGGTAATGTCGTATCCTCATCATGTGGCGCCTTCTAGTGATAAATGAAAAAGTATGAATTTTTTTGTTGGTGAATTGAATGGAGGTCAGTTTTTTAATTCCAATAAAACTTATGTTTTCATGTTATGTGATATAAAGGCTTAATAATATTAATTCTTAGGTATGGGGACAATAAATGAGGGGTCGTTAAAGCAGTATTTTTATCTTTAAGACTTCAGATTGATTGTTAAAGAAAGTGACCTGTATACATGCTGGCATTGCTGGAGTTCAGTATTAATTTTGACTTGAGTGCATCATTTTCTATTTTTATTATGTTTTAACTACTCGAATGGTATTGCTCTGTTATGCTATTGTTGTTCTAAATTATAATGCTCGTATATAGCATTCTAGTGATTGTTAAGGTATGATTTTGTTTTTTCTCTATGAATACCATGTTCTAATGTGTATAGATTGACACCTAAGCTTCTTTTGAAGGGATTTTGCTTCAGTGTTCTTCTTCAATTTAATGATAATGAAATGACAGGTTTGAAGCTTTCCTTCTTTTTTGCAAGAACTTAACAAACAATTACAAGGTTTTCTGTGCTTGCTGTCAGTTATGTGTAGACGTGTTTTTCAGACTTCAGTTAAATGGCTGATACGAATTTTTATTTGCATTTCTTTTTATTGGTTTATTTTTCAGATTAAATGCTTGGGCTATTTGGTTTGAGCTTAACTTTTATTGGAAGTGGCTGGGTGTTGGATTCTGAATTCTTATAGAGCATAGAGAGACACTAAAAGGCATATTCTGATGATAGTATGGAATATATTATGGATCAGGCAAAGCTATAACCTTTCTTCAGTTTCATTACACGTCTTCTTTGATTTATCAGATGGCAGCACAAGGGTCCTTGCAAACTATTCCAGGTCTACCAAGATGACAACAAGCTATAAAGTACATTCTTAACTTGTTCTTTATGGATAAATGTTATGATTGGTGTATTCGAACATGTAAAACCTTCTTTTTTAACAACAAACCTGAGTTAATAAAAATAAAAAATCTATGCAAAAGTTGTCAGGTAGACCCGCGGTCTAATCTGCAGGTGGTTAGACTGTCAGTCTTACCTTGTAGGGTATAGAGTGCCTTGTTCAATTAACAAAATTTGATATTTATTCTGCAAATGTGGAATTAGTTTAAGAAAATCCAATGCAAGAAATTTACATTCAAAACTTCACTTGGAAATTCATGAAACTCCAATGTGGGGAAACTGCAATAGCTTATTGTTTGATTGTGAACCTTTTAGGCTTAATGAATTCTAAAATATAAATCATCACGTAATTTCCAAAACATTTGTTCTCTTTGGTGATGCAATAATTCTTTTGGTGGTGGATCTTGTTTGCCCAATTGCCACTGTGATGACAGTGTCTGCCCCTCCAGTTGTGCGATGCAGACTTAAAATAATTGCATGTTAAGAGAGTTTGCAGGATCTACTCTAGCACAGAAGAATTGTTAATTGTTGATTTATTTATCTATTTGGCTCTTTTTGTTTTAAAAAAGAAATTTGCAATGTTGCTAGTGGAGGAAATGAATAATGTAGTTCAGGGTGGCTGAGGTTTCTTGTGGATTATAGTATTGCCTATGATTAACAGAGTAGACTCGTAACTTCAGACATGGTTGGTATTGCCTTTGCTGAGTTGATCTGACTGGAAAGCAAGATGTAGAGTTTGAATGAACTTGTAAGTTGTAACCAATGTGGTATAGTATCTTTATCAGATTGTGTTACCTAAAAGGTGGATTCAATTCAGTTCCTTAAATTAAATCAATTTTTGTTTGTTTTTCTCCTATTGTTGTGCATGAAGATGTACTCTGAATCCCCTTGCGTTTACAATTGCTTCAAAGAAAATGGTAAGTTAGTAGCATCCAACATGGAGGGCTAAGATTTTTGGAAAAATTTGCTTAAAGAAAGAAAGTTGGAATGGAATAAAGATTTAGTATCTTCTTAGTGTAATGTTTATTTTTGAGAAATATTGAGGTTTCAGAGCTTTATATGGCTGCAGATGCTTGCTTTTGCTTTTTCTGAGGAGTTAATAATAAATGAGAAGAGTTGGATGTAATGACTAATGACCAGAAAATTGTTTTTGGCCAAGGATGAAAGTCGTAAGAAGATAACTATTTAAAAACCATTCTGCAAAATCAGCTATGGTTTACTCTGTTTTTAAAGTAAAAACCGGTTTAGGAAGGGAAAGAATAAGAGCACAGAACAAATTGATCTGAGGTGCAGAGTGCTTTGACTCCAATTGATTAAATTTTCTTTTTAAGGAATATAACAATACCTATTCGCACAACTTGGATAAAAAATTAAAAATGGCGTTAATACAAAGATAACTAATATTCAAGATTCAGTTCTTTAGTAGATGGACAGATGGCTGAGGTAGGCCCTTCTACCTTCCAAAGAACTTTTCATCAATTATGCCTTGAGAATAACATTATTACAAGCTTACAGTACAGGGAGGATGCAGCTGGCAGTCTCACAGCAGAAACCTGGTCTCTTTCTGGCCATGGTGATTTGCAAATCACATCGCTCTTCTCAGCCCTGGAATGGTTTGGCCAGGGAAAGAAAAGTCCCTGAAGGAAAGAACATAACACACCTTCCTTTGAATTTCCCAATGCCATAGTGATGTACCTTTGTTGATGTACTACAGTTGTCCCAACTAGTACAAAAAGAGCAAAAGGGTCTGTATAACTCCCAAAATCCAAATAGTCTATCCCGAGAACTCAAGCCTGGGTCCACAAAGCCAAGGTTTACTTTCATCTAAAGAGAGCTCCATTGTAGAAACTTTGGGCAGCACAAGTCATGCAAAAGGCAGCATGATCACCCGTAACTCAGCTGAATATTAGTCTGCCTCTATCCAACTGCATCCCGGAAATTTTTTCAATTTTCTTTTCTTCAGCATCTTCTTCAACCGTGTAACATTGCTCCAATTTCCTGCATTGGCATATAAATCTGTCAACAACAACTTATTTGCTACACTTCCTGGCTCTAGCTCTGCCAAATGCTTAGCTGCTACTTCAGCAAGCTCTATATTCCCATGATTCTTACAAGCTCCTAATAGTGCTCCCCATACAAATATATCAGGTTCAGTAGGCATTGTCTTGATAAAATCATATGCCTCAGCAATTCTTCCTGCTCGACCAAGGAGATCCACCATGCATGCAAAATGCTCCAATCTTGGCTTGATTTTGTAGTTTTCTTGCATCTCACTGAATAGACTTTGTCCCAGTTCAACCAACCCAGCATGACTACAAGCAGTAAGAACTGCCGTAAAAGTCAGGTGATCAAGCTTCTGTTTCTCCTGCATCTTATTGAATAGCTCAATTGCTTCGTTGCAGTATCCATGATTTGCATACCCAAATATCATTGAATTCCAAGTGACCGTGTTCCTTTCTGACATCTTAGAGAACAATGCCCTTGCTTGAGATATAAAACCACACTTTGCATACATGTCGACAAGAGCACTTCTCACGTATATGTCATCTTCCACCCCAGTCACCACTGCATTCCCATGAATCTCCTTTCCACGCTTTACATTCGCCACGCTTGCACAAGCAGCCAAGATGCTACTAATTGTAGCGGAACTCGGATAAAATCCCATCCCCAGCATCTGCTTAAACATATCAAAGGCCTGATCATTACAAAAATTTTGCACCAACCCAGATATAACTGAAGTCCAAGACACCACATCAGGCTCAACACCATTATTATGCATCAATCCAAAAAGCTTAGAAACCATCACTTGATCACCCTTCTGTGAAAACCCCGCTATTAACGAATTCCAAGTAACCACATTAGGCGTCACTCCTAATATTTCCATTTCCTCCACCAAACTCAATGCTTCACTAGCAAGTTCATGTTGAACATACCCCGAAACCAAGGCGTTCATCGCCACTATATCTTTCTCAACCATCCCATTAAAAACTTTTTTTGCCGCTTCAACATACCCACATTTGGAATACATATCGATCAATGCACTAGTAACAAAAGCATCAGTTTCAAACGAATGTTTTACAACCACACAGTGTATCTTCAACCCGGTTCCTACATCCAGCAGATTCCCACATGCTTTTAATACGCTAGGAATAACAAATTTGTTGGGTTTCAGACTCTGGCCTTGCATTTCATGAAACACATCCAGTGCTTCCTGATGATAGCCACGCCGAGCGTAGGCTCCAATGAGAGCAATCCAACGGTGGATATTTGTTTTCGGAATTTTATCGAACAGTTTCCGAGCATATAATATTTTTCGGCATTCAGTGTATAAGGCTATGAGCTTGGAGGCGAAGTGGGTCAAACGAGCTAAGCCAGTGATGATAAGGTGTGCGTGGAGTACTTTTCCGGAATGCAATGCTCGATCATGAGTGTAGATTTCGATTAGTTTAGTGTAGGCTAATTGTGATGTGCGGAATGATCGGCTGATGATGGAAATTTTATGATCGGCCCTGATAAATAAGCCTGTACTGAAGGAATTCATTGACTTTATTTTATACATTGCTTTCTTTTTATTTTATAAAACCGGACAGTGAACGACAATGAGAGATTTCCTGGAAATAAAAGCTGTCTCTTACGGAGGAAATAATAAGAACCGGACAGATTTTTGTTAAAAGGAGTACTAAAAGAGAACGACAGTTTGGTGACGGTCGTGAACTTATGACATTCTGATACCCTATGGGCAAACCATCTACCCTGGTTTTCGGTAATCAGATAATGTTACAGTATAATATATGCTATGTTTAAGTAAAATGCTAAATACACACTTCCATGAATCATGGAAATTCAACACTCCAATCACTTACTACATGATATTCAACGGCCAGCTACGAGGATTGAATCAATGGTGGCAACATAACCAATTTCGAACAATGATGGAAATGGCATCTCGTTGTCCGGAGCTTCATCATTTGCAGAGAATAGATTGATTAAAGTACTCGCTGATTGTTTATTTGGCAATACAGCATCGCCATCCAGATACTGCAAACCTGCCTCATGCTTGGTTTAGCTTCTGGATTACGGAATGAACAAAACAGGCCTAGTTTTAGAACCAACTCCATTTGATCTCTGCATAAACACCTTCCCAGCAACCAGTGACCCAATAAACCAAATTTCCCCTTTCAGCCAACCCTTGTTATTGGGCCTCTTTCCACAAGCCACTTCAAGCCTAAAAATCCCAAAAGCATATACATCTGTGCAAGTAGTTGCCTTTCCAGTTCTCATAAGTTCTGGAGCCATATAACCAAAAGTTCCAACTAGTTTAGTGGTTTGTGGATTACGGAATGAACAAAACAGGCCTAGTTTTAGAACCAACTCCATTTGATCCTCTGCATAAACAGGCCTAGTTTTATCTTCTGCATAGAGATTCTTGTAGGAGATCCTTTTGAGGACGGTATTCTCTTTCCCATTCTTCATATCTCTTCTTCCTTATAGTGTATATGCATACACAGATTGATATCATTGCAACTGCTATTGGCATAGATAAAATAACAAAGTTCTGTAAGGTATCCTACTTACTACTGGATTTAGTGTTGTAGGAAATTGAAGTGGAGGAAGCCTCGAAATGTCAAGGTTTTGAGCTCGTCCAGTTTTGTTGAAGCTCCACTCAAGAATATGTTGGTAAAGTCCATTTGTATCAGTTGCAGCGGAGAAGCCAACATACATAGAATCCAAATGTGTATTAGTTGTCCACTTTGAAGGAACAAGTTTTCGTTCTTCCATTCTGTATCGATAAATTAAGTTGCTGGAGCAGAATCAATAGAAATCAGGCTGTTGGCGTCAATTTCGACATGGTCATCTTCTATATCATTAAATTCAGGGGTTTATACAGTATCCAACTCAACCGCTAAGATATGGTCTGTAGGGAGGCGACTGTTCGAAATATTGAAAAGTCCTAAATATGCACCTGCATCAGCTTTACTGAAGTCCATCGTGGGTGAGATGACAAAAGCCATGCCGTAGCCGGCAAAATAAGGCTCAAAACTCATGGAAAATACAAAATTCGTGGAAAAGAAAAGAGACTGAGAGGAAGATGTATTGAATTTTAATGGAAAAGGATAGAAACTGTTCTACATTACTCTGGAGGCTCAGCCTTCTTACTTTCTTAGACAGTATATTGCAGAAAGTTAGCTCTGGATACTGAGCGAGGACTATCAGAAGAGAGTAACATGTAAAAATTGATAAGAAAGTCTGGTCTTTCTCCAAATTTTCTTACAGAGTAACATGTAAAATTTGAGTAGATATGCTATAGCTGATCTTTCTTCTTGGATTAAGACCCAGTTTGGAGGTGGTAGCTTCCAACTTAATCATTTGTTTCATAAGTTACCACCCCAAATGTGTTTGATAAACACATTGTAAAAATGATTTTCTTTTAATCAGATTATGTGTATGGATTATCATTTCATTTGGTTTGGATTATGGCCAAGTGTTCTAAGGATAAAACAAAATCAGAAGAGTTACAAGTATACATCAAGACTGCAGCTGTTGGAAGGATAATAGAAGGACAAGAAGATCTTTTTGCTCGTTTAGTTGTGACAAAAACTTACTCGAAGTTTACATACTGGGTTGACAAACGAGAGGGCAGACAAACCCTTTTAAAGTAAAGTTCAAATTTGCATGTTTTGATCATGGTGAACGATTTAAGTAAACTAAAATAAGAGCATGCAATTCCATATATTGGTACTGAGAAGAATGTAAAAAAAAAAAAAAAAAAAAACGTGTTATTACCAAAAATCCCCACATGAGCAGGAACCCTGCTTAAAGTGATGGAAGCGATAATTATCTCTTAATACTATCTCTTTCTCAACAATTTTTGATATGTACTTCATAAAAGAATGGCAATCTGTGCAGACTCTAAGGTTCTTGAACACTCGAATTCGTTTTTTTGCTGGCAGGCTGATAAGGCCAAAACAAACAGCAAGTTTTTCACTGTGATATAAAACCATATCCTCCTTTGCAATGGGGGTATGCTCAACATTTTCTATTTGTTGCATTACTTGCTTCAGTTTCTCATATACTTCTGGCATTTCAGGATGAGATTTATCACGTGAAAAGAATCTGTAGATCTTGTTGTGCACTTCTATCCAGCTACATCCTGGTTCCTTTGCAACCTTCTTCAGTGTCATTAGCTTTCTTTGATTTTCTGCATCAAGACGTTTTCCGGCTTCAGCATACATATTTGCGAGGGTTACATAAACTGTTGCATCTTTTGGGTCTAAATCTAATATTTTCTTGGCTACAAATTCTGCCATTTGAAGGTTACTATGGCACCGGCAAGCTGCCAGCAAAGGTCTCCATAATGGAGCTGTAGGTTTGATGGGCAAATTGTTTATGAAATCAAGTGCTTTTTCTAGTTGCCCAGCTCTTCCCAGCAAGTCAACCATGCAACTATAGTGTGTCTCTTCCGGTTGGATACCATAGTCTTTCTCCATGGATTCAAATAATTTATGGCCTTCTTGAACCAAGCCAGAGTGGCTACAAGCAGAAAGAACTGCTAGGAAAGTATAATTGGTTGGCTTAATTCCTTGCTCAACCATCTTTTGAAATAAGATTATAGCCTTTCTTGGATAGCCATTTTGTGAATAAGCTTTGATCATTGAATTCCATGCTACCACATCTACTGCTGACATCTGACTGAAAACTGTTTCTGCATCTTCCATACTTCCACAGCTGTTATAAGCTTCTATCAATGAGCTTCCCACATGCATGTTTGATTGAAACTTGGTTTTCACCAACCGAGAATGTATCTGCTCACAAGTTGCAGGTGATGGCAACAAAGAACAAGCTTTCAACATAATCGAATAGGTAAACTCATCACATGCTGCATCATTCTTAACCATTTCATTAAAAGCTTCCACAGCCTCTCTGGCCTTCTCATTGTGAACTAGCCCTGCTATTTGTGCATTCCATGATACATTAGATGCCATTTTCCCCATCTCTTTGAGCTGTTTGTTTGCGTCACATATTTTTTCAAGTCTTGTGTACATGTTTATGATGCTAGTTCCTACAAAATCACTTAAAGCCATCCCCAGTTTAAGAACTTGAGCATGAAACATGCGACCACAACCAAGATTCTTCATACTTGCACAAGATGCAAGAGCAATTGTATAAGTGTACTCATTTGGATCAACACCATCCTCTCTCATCAAGCAAAACAGTCTTAAAGCCTTCTCAAAATCCCCATGCTGTCGGCATCCATTAATAATTGCAGTCCATGAAATCACATTCCTATGCACAAGACTATCAAACAAAGATTCAGCATCCTTCATCATCCCACACTTAGTGTACAGTGTCAAAAGTGCATTATCTACTGCTGTTTTAGATGAACTTTGTGTCTTCACAATTTGAGCATGAAGTTGTTTCCCTTCCTCAATGGCTAACAGACTGCCACAAAGTGCTAACAACGTTGAGTATGTATAATGGTTTGGCCTAACCCCTACACTATCAAGCTTCACGAAGAAACTAAAAGCTTCATCAAACAACCCATTGTTTGCATATCCAGATATCAAGCAATTGCAAGAAGCAACATCAAGAAAAGGCATTTGATTAACCAAAATAACCGCACTATCCACATCTCCACGTTTAGCATACATATCAACAAGGCTAGTACCCACAAACTGATCATCGCCAATTCCATTCTTAATAATGAAAGCATGGTATCTTCTTCCAAGTTCAAGATACCCCTCACGGCTACAAAAGCTTAAAACACTAATCACAAACCGCCTATCTAACAAACTTTGTGAAGAATAACTTGTAACTTGCGCATCATTAATACACTCATCATCACTAAAAATATCACGGGAAGTATCAATTCTTTCAAAATAACTATTTTTAGTGACACCCTTTTCTTCATCATTCAGGCATCCATTGAAGCTGAGGTCAGTCGTCGAAATACCAGCTCTTCTATGACTTCTATCATACAGCTTATATACAGCCTTCATTGTAACTTGTTCACTAACCATAAACGTTATTGGGTGGTTACATTTTTTCACCTTAACTTGGTATTTTACCGGGTAAAGAAAAGAAAAGCTGCTGCTCAAGAAAAGCTCATATGTAGAAGCCATGGATGGCCAAAGCGAAGTGAAATACGTATTTTGTTTCTTTTGAGAGTAAGTTGGGCTAAATTTCAAAATAATCCATCAAAGTAGGTTATTTGAGCCAATTCTTCTTAATAAAATATCTCTATTTATCTAGTGTGAAAGTCCGTACAATTTACAAACATTGTAATGATTTAACACCGTGCGATGATAGAGTGCCACTATTTCATCTGACACCACATCATCTTGATCCAGTCTCTTCTAAAATCTAAAGTCTTAACAAACATCAGCAATTCATGGACAAGACAAGAGTGAAATCTACTAAGCGAGTTGGTATCTTTTAACAACACAACGGCTCACTCACTCCCAACAAAAATCTCTATGATTCTACAACTCCAACACAAGCAACATATCATAACAAGCTTACTTGCTTGATTGAACATGCATGTATTAACACCAAATACTCTTGTCTATCTTCCCCACCTCTTTTCGAAATCTTCTCTTTTTTACTTCCAAAACCATTCGAACTTAACGATACCCAACAGCTATGGAGGTAATTTAAGCCTGCTTGTGTTTACTCCGCAGTCTTTTACACCACTCTATAGGAATTTCAAGACGAAGCGAAGTAACAATTTAACCCTTTTGAGGGCAAGTCGGAGAGAGTCTCCTTATGAGGTTTTAGGCGTGTCTCCTTCTGCAACTGCTGCTGACATCAAAAGGGCTTATCGGAAACTTGCTTTGAAGTATCACCCTGATGTCAATAAAGAGGTATTTAGTTAATAAATCTCTTGATTTTGTCTGTGCATCTCTAGATTGTTAGTGCTTTTGGCTTGTACAAGAGAGAACTTTGAAGTGTTTATCGTTACGCTGCTGAATTTAAAGTGGGTTTAGTGGTTAAGGTATCTTTTTTATGCAACTATGGTGTTTTTTTGCTTAATTTTTTGTAAATTTTCGGTGAAAAACTGGGTCTTGTGTCTTTTAATTACACTGAATTTTTAAGATAATGAATTCGAGTGAAGGCTGTGTCGTTGGACTCATTAGAGTTGTATTCTTTGTTGGATCCACAAGATTAATTCAAGTTTGCTACTCGCGATCAGTGCAAAAACCTATTTAATATCTTGCTTATTCTAGTTCTCAATAATCATAAATCTTTGGGGACAAATGAAGAAATTAATTAAATAGTCTGATATTCAGCTGTATGAAAAACTGGTCTTAAACTCTAAGAGTTAAATACTTTAACATGCAAATCTTATTCTGGTGGTTTAGGAACTTAAATAAGCATGTTTCTGTTTCTTCCCTTTTAATCTGTTGTGTTGTTCTTGTGTAAATAACCTGTATTTCATTTTTTTTTTTTTTTTTGGTTGCATACAGGCAAATGCGCAAGAGAAATTTATGAGGATTAAGCATGCATACAGTACATTGCTGAATTCTGAGTCTAGGAGAAAATATGATTTTGGAAATCGTTCATCTGACTTTTCCTACACTACTGGTCAAAGAAACCAAAGCACAAATGCCCAAGATGAAGAAGAATTCTATGGATTTGGTAAAATATTTATGCCTATGAAATTCCTGTCTACTTCAGTTTTCACTTATTGATTGAGTGTCATCTTGCTCTCAGAGTAGCTCCTTGTAGACAATAATGACATAATGCAAAAAAGATTCAACCTGTTGTTGACATATGATATTTTATAGAGGCTATTAGATCAGAGGATAATTTTCCTAGTGGATCAATCAAATTGCTCTAGCCTACTTAAACATTCTACTCTTTTGCAGAATGTTCAAAGCAAATATTTCTGGATAGTAAATACTTTCTCTAACTTCTACTGAACTATTATATACCAGATATCCCAGTAGAACAAGAAAAGGATCTAATTTGATTGAGAAATCCTACTTCCTTTTCCATCATCTGCATATACTTCGGGTTTTTTTGTAGACCTAGTTGTCCATGGTATTTGTACTGTGCACTACCTTATTGCCTTTTCATGGTTGCTTGTGTATCCATCGTCTTTCCTGACCCTTGAAACTGATGAGGAAAAAGTTTTTGACCTTATTTTGCTGTCTTTGTAGGAGTCGTTTTACTCATGTTTTTTCTTATACATAAACCATTTTATGCTGCAGGTAATTTTTTGAGGGATGTCCAAGTAACAGTAGGTAGAATGTACTCTCTTTCAAACATTAGAAAAGCCCATAAAGTTGCCTTGCCTAATACCATTGCTTTCTTTTCCCATTACTATTGCAACTATAACTTTTGTCTTTGTACCAATGTTAAGTCTAAATTTGTGTGACAGAGGACTTCTTTAGAGATCTTCAAGAGGAATTCCGGAATTGGGAATCTAGTGCTGCTTCACAGGGGAAGCCTAAGAGTCTATGGGAGGAATTGGCGGTATGACATTGTTTTCTTTGCCTATAATTCAGTATCCTTCTGAAACTTCACAATGAAACATATTAATTTTCATGGAAATTTACCAAGCACCAAAGCAGCCTATCTTGCTATGTTAATTCACTTTCACTCTTGACAGGAAATTGGAGAAGAATTTGTGGAGTTCCTAGAAAAAGAGCTCAACATAACTGATGCAGAATCCGAAGCAAATAACAATTGGGAGGGGTCTGGAAAAGGCAACCCTTTTAACAGTTCATCAACAGGGAGAACAGATAGTGGCATGCAAAATGAAGCCGAAAAGGGAAGCAGCATTGACGAGAACATTGATGATATAGAAGCTACTCTAGCAAGGTTGAAAAAGGAATTGGGTTTGTAGCAAGGAAATGTATTTTATATATATATATATATATATACAATTAAATTGATTCTTTAATGCAAAAGATATAGGAGGCCAAGGCCGTGTTTTTGCCTTCATAACCATATACCAAAATGCTCAGTTCTAATGTCTCTGAGGGTGACTTCTTGTGTGCCTATCTTATGATAGAAGGTACACTTCCACTTATTGTGATGACGCTAGTGCTGATTGCCTTAACTATAAAACTACAAGATAAGTGTGATTATATTCTCTTACAATTTTGGTTCTTTTAGATTCAAGGCATCTTCAAATACGGCTCAAATAATTCACTTCATCTGTTTATCTGGCCATCGGATATTACTTATTAGATACACCCTCCANTAACTGATGCAGAATCCGAAGCAAATAACAATTGGGAGGGGTCTGGAAAAGGCAACCCTTTTAACAGTTCATCAACAGGGAGAACAGATAGTGGCATGCAAAATGAAGCCGAAAAGGGAAGCAGCATTGACGAGAACATTGATGATATAGAAGCTACTCTAGCAAGGTTGAAAAAGGAATTGGGTTTGTAGCAAGGAAATGTATTTTATATATATATATATATATATACAATTAAATTGATTCTTTAATGCAAAAGATATAGGAGGCCAAGGCCGTGTTTTTGCCTTCATAACCATATACCAAAATGCTCAGTTCTAATGTCTCTGAGGGTGACTTCTTGTGTGCCTATCTTATGATAGAAGGTACACTTCCACTTATTGTGATGACGCTAGTGCTGATTGCCTTAACTATAAAACTACAAGATAAGTGTGATTATATTCTCTTACAATTTTGGTTCTTTTAGATTCAAGGCATCTTCAAATACGGCTCTAATAATTCAATTCATCTGTTTATCTGGCCATCGGATATTACTTATTAGATACACCCTCCACAGATATTGTATAAAATAAGCTACACATCGCGTAACCTAACCTCTACCACAACATTTGCTTGCTACTTCCAGTTGCTTTTAAGTGAAGCTCTTCAATTTTACTTGAAGTTTAGTGTAGCAATTCGAGTGCACTTTTTAAACATAAAGATTGGGTAAGATTTCGAGGTTCAGGCTAAGCAAACAAAATTCACAGGTTTTGCAGAGGAAAAATAGCAGAAGCAGCACACTATGCATAAATGTTACATAATACAACATCCAAAATCATTCTTCTTGGTGTCACCTCACTCAACCAAATTCAAGTATAGAAAACATAAGATTAACAAAATTTATTTTTAAGAAAGAAAGCCTTTCAAATTAAATCATTTTATCTAGGTCTAAGCATTTGACAGATATTCAAGGCTCTTAATATTTGTTGAAAAACCTAAAGGCCTGACTGTACTAAGCAAACTATGAAATCTAATCGCATTCAATATCTCTCCCCAAAACGGAAGAATATTGCACCAGTCCCAGTATTATGGTCAACCGCATACTCAGCTCGCACTAGACCTAGCTTGACACCAACACCATATGATGAACCATGACCCATGCGCCTATAGACCTCAGTGGGGTTCCCCTTCACATCCTTCGAACTTCCTAGATCATTGCCATGCTCTGCAAACGCATACACGTGTGTATTTCTCACAGGTACCCGGATTTCAGCTCCAAGCTGGAGATGACATTTTTTAAGAAATTAGCTATAAATTCCACAAGACCATGTTCGGAAACTATTAACACAATTATATTTTCAATCTATTAAATAGTCAGGTAAGGACTTGAGTCATCAAAATGCTTCTTTCTCATGAAAAATAGGGCATAAACAAAAACATGAAATGCTTCAACACAACCAATAATCGCCTTCAGTAATTCTCACCTCAAGAATGTTTCTGGCAGCACCTAGCTCACCCATATTATAACCCCTCACTGAGTATGGACCCCCTAGTGTAAATGCATCGTAACTTGGAAGGTCTCCCACACAACCTCCATAGTGGCCATGAAGTACTAGAACAGGTGGTGGTGGTTTGTTAGCACCTTCTTCAACTGGCTTCAATTGGATAAATTGCGTCAATGTCAATTGATGGCGGTTAAAGAATGGAAACTTGCTGCCAACACCAATGCCTTGGTCCACCTATGATTTGTATACAGATTGTTCATATTAGCTTTGAAATAATCACGTTACATATGTAGGCCAAACACACAAATAGCAGCAAAGATTATTGTATTTATTATTAATTTTTTCTAAAATATGACAAAACTATGCAGGGATCCTTTCTCAAGAAAAAAAAAATAAATTATTTTCCTTTTACAAAGCCCTTTCTAGAATAGTGTTAGCAAATATAGAGCATCAAAGTAGCTAGAAATACGTGCTTACTTGAAATACATTCCTCTCACCAACAATAGCTCCATTCACAAACTTGGTGTTGTCACGGGTAATATTTGCCTGTAAAAAGGCCATTCGGTCAATGCCAGTACCACTGAGGGTGGTTGGAGGTCCATCTGCACTAATTCCTCCACTTGGCAACACTCTTTGACCATTTGGAGAGATATGACTGCTTTCATCACGTGTTGTTATCTCTTCCATGACAAGACCATAAGTGAATTTGCTTTGACGGGTGAAATTCTGCCAGGCACACATCAATCAGAACGCAAACAGAAACCATTCTAATCTATAAAATAAATATAAAAATAACAAAGCCAAGCAGCAAATGACCACTGGTTATTACCTCTGTAATATTAGCTTTGACTCCAGCTCGATCAACCCAAATAGGAGGGACTTCATCCACTCCTGGTCCGCCAGTGAACACTGGACTTAGTTTCCGACTGTTGAAGCAGCTTGCACGGAAAGTACGGTTACGAGGGTTGTACACACCATCCAAATATGGATGTACATACTCCAGCTTAAAAGCAAGATCGTCCTAAACATAAGATCACAAGGGTCATTTTATGATACAAACAATCATGCTGATGAAAATGAACCAAAAAGACTATATCAGAAAAATTACCTGAGGATTTAAGAAGTTGCTGGTGGTCACTGAACCGAGAAGGGATCTATTTAGCCCTTTCAGATTCCGGTGTTCAAAAGATACAGTTCCACCAGGCTGAAGTGAAGCCTGAACAGAGTACAGTAATAAAGACAACTCAAGTCACAATTTTGTCATATAAGTGATGGTTCCTCTATTATAAATTTATACAGATTTTGGATTTGATATACGTACAAATGTGGGGCGTCCACCTCGTCCAGGAACAAGACTCCATTCAGCACTGACTTCAGCTGATTTTTGATCCAGTTCTTTAAGCTTGATCTCAACAATGATTCCTCCTTCGTTCTTTTCATCAGGGCGTGGGTTCACCTCAATATTGGAAAACAAAGCCAGCGAGTTTATATTTCTCAGAGCTTGTTTCCCAGCTTCTATGTTAAAAACATAGCCTTGTCGAAGCTGTAAACCCAATTCAAACATTAACCAAATAAACATTAGATCATCATACAAATTTGGGACTAACTCATAAATTGACAATTAGTCTTCAAATACAGGAAGCAGGCACATGGATTAACAAAAATAACACCCAATTATTTGAAAATAAGACAGACATTAAGAATCAATAATACATGTAAGGAGAAATTTGTTTGCAGGTCCAACATTTGAATGCAACTTAATGTCATTCAGATGTCAATTAAATTCAGAATTAATCAGAGTTCAAAGAAAAAAAATAAACCACCTCAGTCAGACATTGGGATAAGCAACTATCACTCTTCAACAGATCATAATCTAAATTACACAATCCCTTCTATGTCACAGTATACAAATGCTTTTCATTCCATGTCAATGCTGCCTACACTCAATGGATACATATTCTTTAAAAATCAAGAGATTCTTCAACAACTTAAACTAAGTATTTTATTCTTGATAACCAGATAGTCTTGGGCAATTTTTCTCACCTTTTGTAGGGTTAAAATATGGTAATTAGAACACCAGTACAGTTACACTTAATATTCCAATATGATAACAAAAACTCATGCTGCACCACAAGTTATAGCCCCCACCAAAAGTTTGAAGCCAAGCACAGACATTTATGTTTTAGTGTATATGTATATACACTAATAAACCAAACATTCGCATCATCAATCAACTCTGAACACATACATACAGCACATTTCCAATCCAATGGCATTTTTAGAGGAATAAAGTCAACTTTCAGTTACTTCATTCCACTAAAAAAACTCTAATATCAACCATATACATAACAAGCAATCATCATCCATCAATTACATTCAAACAGAACACATAGCTAATCCAGAAATCAATTAAACCCAATTTAATCTCACCTGTTTGGGCAACTCTCTCTTGACAACAGGCAATTGAGTGTTCCCTTCAACTACATTCCCAAGCTTATCCTGAAACTGTACCACCAACTGAGTTATATCCCCTTCTACAACCTCACAAACCACTTCCCTCGTATTCAAGTTCCCGAAATTCACCACTTGTGCACAAGCATACCCTTCATCATGGTACCACTTCTGCACCCTGTCCCTTATCTTCTGCAACAACCTCGCACTCACCTTTCCATGGTCCTTTAACATCTGTAAAATCTCTCTATGCACCGAAAGGGGCAACAAACACGGCCTGGCCTTATCAATCCTCCTCCTATAGTCCTTCTCCTGACTCTTATAATACTCCATTTTCTCCTTATCAGTCATATCAGGATCCATTTCAATAGGTTTCGATTGGGCCATCAAACCCACGTTTATGCACCTAATTCTGTCAGCTGACTGCCACGTACTCTCCAAAAATGATATTGTTAAGGCTAGTGTACCATCAGGTTTCGTTTTACTCTCCATATCAACCTTCTCGAACATCCCACAAGTGGCTAAGGATTCGAGCTCTTTCATAAGCTGGGCTTTTGTATACACTCCTCCAGGACGTAAAGAAACCATTTCAAAGAAAGAATCTTCAGTTCCCACAGTGACGCCACGGCGCCGATCGAAGAACAAAATATCTGAAAGCTTATATTTTTTGAATCCGCTGAGCTTGTTGAGTTGAACAATGATATTCGCTGGGAGACCGTGAGAGTCCCACTCTTGTGACTCGTTATTTTCATCTGCAATCGCTGAATCTTGAGAAACTAGGTTTCTCCAGAACCCATTATCACCATTACCCCCAGCGTTTTCTCCACCGCCACCACCACCACCGAATCCGCCATTTCCACTACCTCCACCATCGCCGCCACCGAGAATGGGGGTGAGTCGGAGGAAGAGAGTGGCAGTGGCAGCCGACGCAACGGCAAGGGGTTTGGAGAGGGATTTAAGGACATTAGTGTAATTGGCAGTGTTGTTAGTACGTTTGTTAGGGTTTTGAGAGGAGAGATTACATTGTACAGGAGTGGCGCGTGGGGTAAGGGAAGAGGAGAAGCGGGCGGCGGGTAATTTAGGGCGAGAGAAAGTGGGGGTGGAGGAGTGGGTAGGGAGGAGGTGGGTGGGAGCGGCGAAGGAGGACATGGGGTTTGTCAAGCGAGAAAGGCAGAGAAGAAAGGATAAAAAATTAAAAGATAAGAGAGGTTTAAGAAATGAAAAAGGGAGTGAAGTGTAAAGTGGTGAAGGGTTTAGGGTACAGGGGAGACTTTACATAGCGCCCTTTGGATTTGGATCCCCAAATTGGCGATATCAACTATGCTATATTTTTTTATTCTTAATAGTTAATTGTATGATTGGAGCTTTGATTCTTTTCAAATAATCCTTTGGAATTGGATTAATTTAAAATTTAATATCACATTTAAGCATTAAATAAAATTTTAATAGAATAATAATTAGTTTAAAATATTTAATTTTTTCTTTATTAATAATTAACAACTCGCGTTAAGCCGTTAACCAATTAAAACTTGTAGTTGTATTATAAATTAATTGAATCCGCCACCTAAACAAAAATAATACTCAAGACACTCGCCCTTTATAATTAAGTCTAAACGGGGACTTATAATTCACCATTTCCAATGTTTTTGCTATGAACCAGAACGACCAACGGCTTATCATTCCACATCAGGCTGTATTTTGCGATGGGTGTGTGTAAATATTGGCAGATATAATGCATGCATATTTCCCGGAGAAAATGAGCCTGCTATTCCCTCTTCCAGTACTATGTGCCTTAGCGAAAGCCTCAAAACTAATCAATGCGTTATTTCCCCGCACGCTAACGACTCTTAACCACCAATATGTCAGTGACCCAGAAGATGTTTTTGTCTCCTTGAACAACCAAATTTCCAGTTTCGCTGAGAGCGTATCTGCTCCAGATGGTCTAAACGCCGTCGCTTGGTTGCAACAATTAAATGAGTCATCGCGCAGCCCGTACTTTCTGAGTAAAATTATATCATATTGTAAGAAATCGCGTTCACTTGATGTGGGAATTCAAATTCATCCAATCATTGTCAAAAAGGGTTTCACTTCAAATCTCTATATATGCACTGCTCTTGTTGATATGTATGGTAACTGCGGAGAAATCTTAAGTTCTCAGAGACTGTTCGATGAAATGCAACAAAGAAATATAGTCACTTGGAATTCTTTAATTTCTGGTTATTTACATGTCAAGTCCCCTGATATTACTGTTGAATTGTTTATAAAGATGTTAAAAGCGGGGATAGAACCAACGGCATTTAGTGTTTCTATTGTTTTGGTAGGGTGCTCGCAGTTAGAAGATGAAGTGATTGGGGCTCAGGTTCATGGTGTAAGTTTGAAATTCGGGTTCTGTAATAATGTTGCTGTTGAAACAGGTTTGATTTATATGTACTCAAAATGTTGCAATGTTGAGGACTCGAGACGGGTTTTTGATCAAACGCAAGAAAAAAATGTTCTTACTTGGAAATCCATGGTTACTGGGTATGCACAGAATGGACAACCTAACGAGGCCATGATTTTAGTTCGAGAAATGCTGCGTTTAGGCCTGGGAACGAATGATGTCACTTATAACAGTTTACTGAGTTCTTTTCCTTGTATTAAATATTTGAATTGTTGCAAACAAATTCATTGTCGGGTAATTCGTGAAGGTTTTGAGTCTAATATTTATATAGTTGTCACCCTTGTGACTGTGTATTCAAAATGTAATTGTAGTTTGGAGGATTTTCAGAAGGTGTGCTCAAGTGTTACAAGATGGGACCAAATCTCGTGGAATGCAGTAATTGCTGGTTTCTGTAATTTACAGTGCGGTGAACAAGCCCTCAAATGCTTCTCTGAAATGAGGCGATCAGGGATTGAAATAGACTATTTTACATTGACCAGCATAGTTGGAGCAATAGGAGTGATTTCGGGTCTTAAGGAGGGGAAGCAAATGCTTGCTCTCATTTTGAAAACAGGGTATGCTAGAGACGTCCATGTTCAAAATGCTCTTGTCTCTATGTATGCAAGATGCGGTGCTATCAAGGATTCAAAGAAGATGTTCTCATCAATGAATAAGCATGATGTAATCTCATGGAATTCACTGCTATCAGGATGTGCTCATCATGGGTACGCTAAGGAGGCTGTAGAGTTGTTTGAACAAATGCAAAGAACTGAGATCCAACCAGATGGTATCACATTCCTTGCTGTGTTGTCTGCTTGTAGCCATGCTGGGTTTATAGATAAGGGACTTGAGTATTTTCATTTGATGAAAAATGATGCTTCAATTGAACCCCCCTGATTAGAGCATTATGCCACAGTTGTAGATCTTTTTGGTCGAGCTGGGTATCTCGATGAAGCAGAGTCCTTTATTAGCAGCATGCCCATAGATCCAGGACCCTCAGTCTACAAAGCACTGCTCAGTGCTTGTCAAATTCATGGAAGTAGAGAAATTGCTGAGCGTTCTGCCAAAAAGCTTCTAGAGCTGTGGCCCAATGATCCTGCAACTTATGTAATTCTTTCAAATGTGTTTAAAATGGCAGGTTATTGGGATGATGCAATAGGCTTGCGGGCGCTAATGTGTGATAGAAGAGTGAGGATCAAGCCTGGTTATAGTTGGGTTTGAGTTCGCAAAGAGGAAATGTTGTCATTTTTTGGCAATATAGATGCAATCAATGAGTCCTGCCTATTGGTAAATTGATATAAACAGCTTCTCCAAGACTCTGTTTCAAGTACTGGCGCGAAAGAGAGTCAATAATTTGATCTTACTCAGTTGCTGGTGTGACTAGCTAATCTGGTGGTTGTAAAGAATGACAAATTTTCGTCTAAGATTGGTTACCAAATTAGTTGACATCATATCTTGACTTCAGTTGTGTCTGCGAAAGATTGTGAAATGTAAATTTATGACCGGTGTAGGCATTAGTTGGTTCTTAATAGGCGGGTGTCTTGGGATTGTCAAGAGGAAAAAAAATAACTTAATACCGATCCAAAGGATGCATCTGATCTCAGTTAGCTTAACCAATTATGTTGTATATAAAGTGAAGAACGAGGCATTTCAGAGTTTTGTCATTTTGAATTTTGATATAGAGGTCCCAAGAAGCATCAAGGCAAGGTGTTCGGTTTAATCCTGACCATGTTTGTGGGGGAATTTCGGTGCTAGCCAAAGGTTAAGGAATTCTCAACTACAGGTTTGATTAAAAATCAAAACAGTATACTCTGGACGCTTGAGTTCATATTCATGTTTTTTATGAACATCAGAGTTGAACTTTAGCTTATATTAACGATGATGAAATGTGATGAACTCACAGAGTCATCAAGTGTCAATTTTGTTTCTCTTTTCTTCCACGTTTAACTTGCTGCTTGTAATAGAATCTCTCATAACTTGTTGGAAAATTGGAAAGTTTGTTTTTGAGCTGATTCAAGAAGTCGTGTAATTTGAAATTGAGGCTTTTTAGTGTAACTGTTCTTTTGTATGACAGTCATCTACTCCACAATTGCCATGATTGGTTGTGATGGTAATCAAAATATGTCAAATGGGTTGAATTGTCTGATATGATAGATTATCAAATAAAATATATTTTTATAGAATCACAAAATGCGTACAGCATAATTTGATGTTTCTATTGCCTTAGAATACCTATTTGACATCCCTATTATCAAAGCCATTGTGAGTTGTGTATCATGATGAACTAATCTAGGCTTAAAGTTATGGTCAGACAGGAAAACACCTCAACAACAAAAATTTCTCTTCCCAATAAACGAGGCAAAAAAAGAGGAGAATGGTTGATGCAGGCCTAGTCAATTTGGTACTTTAAGAGAAAATCATTTGTGATTTACAGTTACCAAATTCTATTGCCATGCATAAATATAGAGCCCCACAAATATCTCAGGCTTGTCTCGGGTAACATGTGGCCCTTGTCAATGTCCATGAGAGAACCCCGGAAAGTACTGCTTCTCCAATATTCATTTTAAATATCCTTCTTTCTTTATTTGAAAACATGAAGAGAAAATTTTGGGGCACAGATCTCAGTCTGCAACAATGAAAGACCCTCTAAATTCCAGATATGGAACATTAACTCCAATTGATCTGAGAAGATACGGAGAAAATCCTAGATCCCCAACATCCCCGACTGTTGAACACCTTATGGGAGGTAATCCCATAATATTATAATTAAAATGGAATTACAGATAACAGTTGAAAGAACTTTGTTCAAAAATATGTTTATGCTCAATCCAAGTTATATTCCATTCTAACAAGATTAATGTGTGTACAATAGGTGAAGCTTCAAGGTGGTCACCTCACTCCTCACCTGTAATTCGAAGGGACCATGATCCTGAAGAAGATCACACCCATCATCAAAAGAAATCAGTTCTGACAAAAGTTAAGGAAAGGGCAAAGAAATTGCGACAGAGTCTCAGTGGCAAGAAGAAGCATATTGAGGAAAGTAACACCACACCCTCATGGGGTGTTAGCTTGGAAGACGAAGAGGAAGAGAAAGATGCTGAGTATCTTGGAGCCCCAAGTATATTAACTAAACCCTTATGATTCTTAGTTATTCAAATGATCACTAATGTCAAGATTCTGCAAATTCTTCTCGAATATAATGTGGTAATCCTTTTAATTCTATAATATTTCCAGTGTATGAATCGGAGTTGGCGCCTGAGGGGTACAAGGTGCATGCAAGGCACTATCCAAGAGAAATTTCTGTAATTTCTGAGAAACAGGTTTTGGCAAGCAGTGTCAACCATAGTGTTGAACAAGAAAAGGAGAAGCCTGCTACTCCTCCTACTACTCCTAAACAGACTAGTACTCCTACTACTCCTAACGAGACTACTCCTAACAAGACAATAACGGAAACTGTAACTGAGAAGCTGGCTCCGGCATATGCCACAGTATCGGATGCAACACATGCAATTGCTTCAAAGATTCAAGGCCTTACTGTCTCATCCCCAGCTACTCCAGAAGTTAAAAAGCTTCCTGCTCTTGAAACCGAGAAGCCTGCCAGTCCAACTGGCCAAATGTGGGATAAAGGTGTTTCAGTGAAGGAGTTTATAAAGAATAAGTTTGAGCCAGGGGAGGATGAGAGAGCACTTTCTCAAGTGATAACTGAAGCAATGAGTCCGAAGAGAAGTCCTCGCGAAGGGGGTGTTGTGGAGAAGGTGAAGGAGGCTGTAACTTCTTTTCTTTGGAAAGAAGAGCCTTCCCAATCTTCACCTTCATACTCAGCTTCAAACTCATCACCAAGCATTCCTGTCTCTACCAATGCTTTTGAAGGTGACAAACCTTTTTTTTCTTCACTATCTGAAATCAATATAACTACTAGCTGTAAACCCTGTCTCCTGCATTGGAGTTCATGTATTCAACCTGGCATTGTCTCATTTTATTCTTAATTCTTGTAATGGATTAATTAATCTCTCCTGCTTGATATTTTCTGTTGCAGTTATTGAAGAAGAAGAAAATCATGGAAGAGTACTCCAAGCCAACTGATCAAAGAGAAATTCATCTGGCTGATGAAGGGAATAGTTTCCTGAATCTGATTTTATACAGGTTTATGTATTAATAATTAGATTGGAAATGTTAATCATATTATATTCATGTAGTTATGTTAACCTTATATATGTCGTCAATAGTCTGCTTCGCAGCTCGTAAAGTTTAAACCTGTACAAATGAGTGAGACAAAATGTTCCTAGTCCTGTCTCTTAATTAATATACACACGAAGGATATAGATTCTCTATTCATTTAGTTTTATATAATTTTTTAAGGATTTAGAGATACACGACAATTCACCACCATCTAACTGTTAGAATCCATTCATTAAAACATTTTGGTTCGAACTGAGACAGATTTCCTATCATAAAAAAAGGTCCACAAATGAGGGAGGTTATGAATGAGTTTGGGTAGAATTAACTCTTAACAGCTAGTTCAAGGCAAAAAGTTAATTCAAGAGAAAAAGTAGTTCAACCACATATATATATATATATATATATATATATATATACATCATTAAAACTCACTAAATTGGCGATACAAAACAAATACTTATACAACTTCCTTCTAACAGGCTGTTAAAAGGAAATTTCCATTGATTTTCAAGAAACATATATTAAAAGCTAGCTAGTTGCAATAAGAATCTTTAATTTATAAGAAACAACTTGCTATTTGTTTTACATTGCCCAGCGCGGATTGAACTACCAATGCTTGATAGCTCGACAGTAAAACCATTGTTTAAGCTCAGAAGTTTGAAAGTTTCAGTGACCCTAATAAAATATCTTATTCAAAGAGTTTATACCGGATCAATGAATAACTGGTTTAATTTCTACCACTCATGAGCTTCCATGAATTGATCACTTATTCATGACTCTACTTCTAATCCACTTATCCATTGAGATGTTCAATATTATGTTTGACCTTGCATTTCATTAGAAATATGATTTGAAGTGGTTATTTCCTTATTCAAAACTTAACTTTCAGGGTCAACTTCATTAACCCTCCCCTCATAGCAAATGCTCCACCAGTGATTTAACCTTTAAAACCATTCTTCTGAAAAAAAGCAGACTATACTTCACCACTTTTCTCAATGGCTGCTCTTAGATCTTTTTATTTTCATGTAGTTTTTAATCTGTCCTTGATTTCCATGGCTATACCTCAAGATGAAAACCATTTCATTTATCATGGCTTCAATGAAGCCAAGCTGCATCTAGATGGCATGGCAAAGATCCACCCCAATGGTCTTTTGCAGCTAACACACACTACTCAAATTGAAACTGGCCACGCTTTCTACCCATTCCCTTTCCAGTTCAATACATCATCCTCTCAATCTCTTTCATTTTCCATCAATTTTGTCTTTTCCATAGTTCCAAATAATAATTATAGTAGCCATGGCATGGCTTTTGTCATCTCACCGTCTGTGGACTTTAGCAAAGCTATGGCAACCCAATATTTGGGACTCTTCAACAGTTCAAACAATGGCCTCCACACAAACCACATCTTGGCGGTTGAGCTTGATACCATACAATCCACTGAATTTTACGATATAAATGGAAACCATGTGGGAATTGATGTGAACAGCCTTATATCTACTGATTCTGCTCCACCAACTTACTATTCCGATAAAGAAGGGAAGAACAAAACCCTGCAGTTAGCAAGTGGAATTCCAATACAAATTTGGATAGACTACAACGGAACAGAAAAATTACTCAATGTAAAACTAGCTCCAGTAGGAATCCCCAAACCAAACATACCTCTCTTGTCAGCTACCATCGACGCTTCTAAAATTCTCTTGGACTCTATGTACGTTGGCTTCTCTGCATCAACTGGTACACTCGTAAGTGACCAGTATGTTCTCGGATGGAGTTTCAGCACAAGTGGAGAAGCACAAAGCCTTGATATTTCGAAGCTTCCTTCACTGCCTCGGGCTCCTATAGTGCTTTCTCCACCTCCTTCAATTTCGCCACCAACCCCTAAAGCAGGTGAGAAGGCAGAGCCTGTTGTTATTGTGTCGCTTGTAGCAGTGGCAGTTGTGGTGATAACAATCAGTGGAGCTGTTTACATTGTGATGAAGAAGAAATATGAGGAAGTATACGAAGACTGGGAAAAGAGAATACGGTCCTCAAAGGTTTTCCTATAAGAATCTCTACAAAGCGACCAAGGGCTTCAAAGACAAGGAGCTTATAGGACAAGGAGGTTTCGGAAAGGTTTACAAAGGTGTACTTCCGTCTTCTAATTTACAAATCGCAGTCAAGAGAGTTTCTCATGTTTCCGAACAAGGGATGAAAGAATTTGTGGCTGAGATTGTAAGCATGGGAAAGCTAAGGCATAGGAACTTGGTGCAACTCCGTGGCTATTGTAGGCGAAGGGGAGAACTTCTGTTGGTCTACGATTTTATGCCCAATGGAAGCCTGGATAAAATTTTATATAGCAACAGGATACCAAACCTTAATTGGTTTCAGAGATTTCGGATTATTAGAGGAGTAGCTTCTGGCCTTCTGTACCTCCATGAAGAGTGGGAACAAGTTGTTCTGCATAGAGACATAAAACCTGGAAATGTTCTTCTAGATGCGGGTCTAAACGGAAAGTTAGGAGATTTTGGGCTCGCCAGGTCATATGACCGTGGCAGCAATCCAGAAACCACAAATCTGGTGGGAACTGTGGGTTATCTGGCTCCAGAATTTATTAGAACAGGAAGGGCAACTACTAGCACGGATGTATTTGCATTCGGGGCTTGTATGCTTGAGGTGGCGTGTGGAAGGAGGCCAATAGAGCCTGGAAAGGTAAATTTGGTTACATGGGTCATTGATTGCTGGAAAAGAGGAGATATTCTCGATGCTTGTGATCCCAGATTGGAAGGTCTTTATGGGGAGGAGCAAATGGAGATGGTTCTGAAACTAGGATTGTTCTGTTCACATCCTAACCCAGAGGTTAGGCCTGGGATGAGGCAAGTGATGCAGTATCTGGATGGTGATGCTACGTTGCCACATATGACACTTGATAACTCTGTGATTGCTTCATTAGCAGCAAGTAATGAAGCCTCATATAGTGAGATCACATTTCCTTTATTTTCAATCGAAAGTAATATTTCTGCTCTTACCATTTCCACCATTGATTCAATCCTCTTAGACGGTCGCTGATTCGTTAAATCACAAGGTTTGATGCAACTAATGCGTTCTTAGGACTGAGGCTTATTTACATTATGTTTATGCAGTGATTGTAGATATGTGGGGAGAGTGACTTTTCGTCTGTACATAATTATGTTAGATGATTGTCGTTTCAAGCCTGTTTTCAATGAATGATTAGTCATTGTACATAATTTGGTTGCAGGATTTATTGCTTTGTAAATTGACTAGAATTAGATAGAGCATATTATGAGACACTGCAAGCAAGGCGAATATTATGATGTAGATGACTGACGTACTATTCAAATTACTACCACCAAATCCGGAGCTACATTTTATCCATTCTATTTGGATTGACTTGTCTATATCCTGTTAACTGTAAATATTAAAATCTCAATAACTGGGTCTGAAATGAAGCTGAGGAGACTGATGGAAAATCGACCTGCGTACAACGCGGGCCAAATGAAGATCACAGGGGACTGATGATGCTGATGTGTCGATTGGAGGACAGGTAGTTTATCATCCTTGAACATTATATAAAGTATTGCTTTTTCTGCGTGGACTAATATTAGCGCGTTGATTTAGTCTTTGATTCGTTCATCTAGATGTTGTAATATATTATTTTACTGTTATCTTTCACTGCTCGAGAGCAAAATAATTTTATCGAATAGCTCTACTCGGTCTCTACAAACACTTTTCAATCTTGACACACAAGTAAGACACCTACAATCTAATCCTTTATAGAAGGAAACTTTTTATATTCCTCTTTTCTACTGTCCTTGAAACTTCAACGCACTTTGATAGTAAACTGTGGTATTCAAATAATAAATAATCATTATCAGCATTTTTCAAACATAAAAATACGATTTCGAAGCATAAGAGGGTATGACAGGTTGAGTCAAAAATGGGGAAGTCGAACACCTTCACTCTCATTATTCTGTCATATAGAAGAACATCATCAGAGTTAAACCAATAACGTTATTTTTTGGTGCTTAGTGAATATGAGACATTTATCCACAATTATCGTTCATTGCAGAAAAAATTTTCTTACTGAGCGACTAGTAACACAATGCTCGTGTGGTTCCTACATGGCATATATAAATCTAGGGCTCAATAAAACACAGTTAACTGCTTTGGGTTATCATATGAAGCATCATTCATATAGGTATTTTCATGTTAAATCAATCAGCTTCTTTGACCCCGAATTTCACCAGAGTTGTATGCCAAAAAAATTGGCTCATTTAGAGCATTGAAATGGAAATTTGAAGTGGTCATAAAGTTGACCCTGTGCAGAGTCAATTTCATCAGCCAGGCTCTAAAGTCCTGAAGAATTATATGCTTTTAAACTTACATTTATGTGTGAATGGGTATATTCTTTAATTAAACTTCTCATAAGTTAGAGATTAGTAAACAGAAACATCTCTCTTTGAAAGGCAGATCTACTTCTTTCTTTAATGGCTGCGGCAAATAGATCACTTTGTTTTTGGGTAATTCTGAATCTTTCCTTTATTTCCATCGCTATGGCTCAAGATGAAAACCAGTTCTTCTATCATGGCTTCGATGAAGCCAAACTGCATCTTGATGGCACAGCAAAGATTCTCCCCAGTGGTTTATTGCAGCTAACCAACATTTCTGAGCTTCAAATTGGGCATGCTTTCTATCCATTCCCAATCAAGTTCAACATATCTTCCCCTCAATCTCTTTCATTCTCCACGAATTTTGTGTTTGCAATAGTACCATCAGAGTTTGATCTTAGTGGCCATGGCATGGCTTTTGTCATCTCACCCACCACCGACTTCAGTAAAGCTGTTGCAAGTGCATATCTGGGCCTCTTCAATATTTCAAACAATGGCCAGCCAACAAATCATACCTTGGCGGTGGAGATTGATACTGTACGAAGTGGTGAATTTAAGGATATTAATGGAAACCATGTGGGAATTGATGTGAACAGCCTGGAATCTATCGACTCTGCTCCAGCATCTTATTTTTCTGATAAAGAAGGCAAGAATGAAATCTTGGAGCTAGCGAGTGGAAATTCTATACAGATTTGGATAGACTATAATGGAGTAGAAAAGTTACTCAATGTAACACTAGCTCCAATCAGAACCCCGAAACCAAAAAGGCCTCTCTTGTCAAAACTCATCGATCTATCTGAAATTCTTTTGGACTCTATGTATATTGGTTTCTCTGCATCAACTGGTACTCGTAAAAGTGATCACTACGTTCTCGGGTGGAGCTTCAATGAAAGTGGACAATCACAAAACCTTGACATTTCAAAACTTCCTTCACTTCCACCAACCAGAAAAGCAAGGGTGAAAACAGATCCACTGATTATTGTTTTGCCTGTAGCTGGACTGGTTGTGCTAACAATAATTGGTGGAGCCGTTTACATTGTGAGGAAGAAGAAGTATGAAGAAGCATACGAAGACTGGGAAAAAGAATATGGTCCTCATAGGATCTCCTATAAGAATCTCTACGAAGCAACAAAAGGTTTCAAAGACAAAGAGCTCATCGGACAAGGAGGTTTTGGAAAGGTTTACAGAGGCGTACTTCCTTCTACTAATTTGCAAATTGCGGTCAAGTTAGTCACTCACGATTCAGTTGGAGGGATGAAGCAATTTGTGGCTGAGATTGTACTCATGCGAAGACTAAGGCACAGGAACCTGGTACGACTCCTTGGCTATTGCAGGCGAAAGGGAGAACTTCTATTAGTGTATGAGTATATGCCTAACGGAAGCCTTGACAAAATCTTATATGGAAATTTGAAGCCAAACCTTAATTGGTTTCAGAGGTTCCGGATTATCAGAGGAGTAGCTTCTGGCCTTCTTTACCTTCATGAAGAGTGGGAACAAATTGTTCTGCATAGAGACATAAAGCCTGCTAATGTTCTTTTAGATGTCGATCTAAACGGGAAGTTGGGAGATTTTGGCCTCGCTAGATTATATGATCATGGCAACGACCCACAAACCACCAACCTGGTAGGAACCATAGGTTATCTGGCTCCAGAGCTTCTTAAAACTGGAAAAGCAACTACTAGCACAGATGTATTTGCTTTTGGAGCTTTTATGCTCGAGGTTGCTTGTGGAAGGAGGCCTATGGCTATGGAGCCTGGAGAAAAAGATTTGGTTGATTGGGTCACAGATTTCTTGAAAAGAGGAGCTATTATTGATGCCAGTGACCCTAGATTGGAAGGTATATACGTTGAGAAGGAAATGGAATTGGTTTTGAAACTAGGCCTCTATTGTTCAGACTCTAACCCAGAAAGTAGGCCTAGCATGAAGCAGGTGATACAGTATCTGGATGGTGGTACGATGTTACCAAATACACCACCTGGTAGCATTGTCATTGGCGAATTCACAACACGTAACGAACCTCCTGACAATGTTGTGTCATTTCATTCACTGGTGGGTAGTTCTTCTTACACAACGACTACAAATGATTCAAACCTCACAGTAGGTCGCTGAATCAAGAATTTCTTATGCAATGGCTTGATCTTTGGTCCATTCATGGCTGGGGAGTGGAGAAAAAAAATACAATGACTAAGTGAGATATTTTCTGGTCATGTAACTTCTGTGCATTTTGATAACCGATAACATTACTTGTGTTCTAATTAAACTCAACGAAGTATTCTGTAAAATAATCTTGTTTTCTGTTTGATAGACATCATTTTTATGTTCTAGTTTGCTATTACTGGAATGCAAATGGCTTTGTATCAATGTTAGAATAGGTAGCTCTTATATAACCATGAAAATACTATGACCCCATAACTGAGAATCAAGAAATATTTGTGTTGTAGTAGTTTTATGCAAAAGGAGTTTGATTAAATTAATAATTTAATGCAAAAAAATTAAATTTTGTCTGAGATCTCTACTCATTATCTTCTGCATATCCGAAATAAATAAACTGTTGGATATTCTGCTAATGTAAATGAGATTTGAAGCACAAAGTAATCCATAATTTTCTTATGTTTTCTTATGTTTGATTCTAAGAGCATCTTCAAATAACTCTTTATATAACTCAAACTCTTTATTATAAATAGTTTATCTATAAAAATAAGAGTCCAATAAGCTCTTTATTTTTAAAATATAAATTAGAGAGTGAGTTTGACTCTTCATATTTAAATAGTTAAATTTTACTCTCTATCTTAATTTTAATTAATAAATTATATGTTTCTATGTATTTTATTTATTAATTCTCTTTTTTATTAAGCATATTTCTTATAAATAAAGAACATCTTTATTAAATTTAAAGAGTTTATTTGATTTGAATAAAAATTATATTTTTTATATTTAAAATTTAATAAAAATACTCTTCCAGATGCTCTAATATCACCTAACAATTTCAGTCTCATCGGAACAAAAACAGGAGAAGTATTTGCGTTGAATTCAACTTATACAAAAGCCACCATCTTTGAACTTCCAAACCGATAGAAGGCTGCTGACTTTAACAGTGATTTGCAAATTAAGGATCACAAATCAAAGCCTCATTTTCAGTGCACCCCAGAGGGATTGAACAGCTCTGCGGTACATCGAGCCGCCAGTTTACTTTCAGTAACCATTTCTGCCTTGCAATACTCTACCTAAACATCTTGCTAAAAGTGTAAATACGCAGCTATCAAGACCCTAGATTCAAAATTGTTGCTGTCAAGATTGATAATAAATGTGGTGACTGTCTAATTCCAGTCGTCATGGAGGCTTTTAATAGAGATAAATTTTAATGATTAATGTGATGCTGTATTTTGACATCAATTACTTACACGTATAAAATGTTAAATGTGTCTTAAAATAATAAGTGATTGACTAATAGTTGAATTAAGGTCACAGTAATATACAAAACTAATAATAAATGAGACAGAGAATTTTATAGGATTCGTTGTGTTTCATTATTTACACTATCTACCCCTATCCAAATCCAAATTCATGTTTATTTCTCTATTTTCAAAATCCTATCTTAAATTAAAAAACTTTTAAACCCTATAAGTTTGTTAATTGAAAAAACCCTTAACAAAATAATTTATAAATAACAAAACACCTCTATTCATCATAGTTTCGATTCCGACAACCACTTTGGTGATGGCCAAGATTGTCACAACCCTACAGCCGAAACAGGTTGTAATGACTACCTCTTATACTAGGCCGATTGTTCGTCGCGTGAAGGGCCGTAAGCACGGCAAAGATGGCCATCGCAGCCAAACTGGCCTTTTTGGCCGACGATGACATCGTCGACGTCATCAAGCCAGTCTAGCTTGAATTGCTTGAGCCAGTGGCGGCTGACGTGGTGTCGTGGTCTAGGTACAAGGAGAGCCAGGAGGCCATATTGGTAGTGTGCACAACGCTGATCCGATCGTTTGCACGTACGCCAATTTTGACCATATTTGGTAGTGGTAGCTGGAATTTGGCATTGTGGTATGGGGGTGTTTTGTCATTTTACAAAAAAATTATATATTGGGGTGCTTAGTTAAATTAACAAACCTATGAGGTTTTTTTTGTAATTTTTAAATTTTACCTTGTAATAATCACCCAACTCTACCTACCATAATTTTCAAAAATAATAAAACAAAGACACCCATAATGGTTCAAATGCTTAGAGCGATTCCTACATCTTATTCTCTTTTATATGAGTGTTCTTGGTTATAACTAAGTTGCAATAGGTCGCGAACTGCGAACATAAGTACAAGAGCTTATAATTAAAAGAGAATATTAAGTCAGTCTCTTTTTCGTAGGTTTCTTTACTATTTGCTTTTATGAAAATCCGAGATCCTGACCTTGTGGAGGGAGTCTTCTATTTATAGCTACTAAATTCAAGGTAATGATTACAAATCTGCAAGTAGGTAGGTGTCATGCAAGTCTTTCTTGCTCCTATTGGCTGATAACTTAGGAAATATCCTTAAATTATATAGGGTTGGACAGGTGTGCGGACCTACTCTTACAGACTAAACTTGAGCTTGCTGAGTTGTGACAGCCGTATTCTCTCTGTGTTGGGGGCATGTGACAAATTCTTGATGATGCAAAATATTTTGAACTCTGATAGTGCTCGTTGATGCAAGCTTATGTTAACCCTGATTTTTTAGGCTTCACAATGACATCCCCGACTCCTTAAAATAATAATACTAGAATAACATCCAAAAAAACCAAGATTAGCATATAACAAAGACTGGTTTGTTTTCAACCAAGTGGTTGAAGAACATGATATCTACAAATTGGTCTGAATTCGTTTCTTTATATATTTGGATAGTCATGCAAAATAAAAATTGACTTATATTGGTTGTTAGTATTTGTTGGCAAAAGATCAATTTTTTGTTTTTTATTTTTATTTGTTGTGAGCAGGGTGTTTAGGTCAGTTTGTATACACTTCAACTAATCTCTCAAATCTTAATTGATAACTGAGTAATCCCTCAATAGCATCTCCATTAACATTTAGTGTAACACTCATGATCTCTTGAATAATACACTCAAGACTCTAGTATAACTTAGGCCCACCTACTAGTGGTGGTTAGAAGATCAATTTTTGCTTCTTCTGGAATTCATTAAGTGATGTGAATCCAGTTAGACCCTTGAATTGAAATCCGGAGTTGGCAGGTTAATATTTTCTCCTATGTTCTTGCTGTCCAAGACTACACGTCATAGACATACATCACACATTTCAATTTACTTTAAACAAATATTTATCTCTCAATTTTAAACAACAAAACCGCAGCAACACTTTGTCCTCTCACAAAGACATCTTTTTCCCTTTTTTTTTTTTTTTCTTTTTCAGTGATGGCTGCAGCTCTTAGATCAGTTTACGTTTGGATGATTTTCAGTTTATCCTTTATTTCTTGTGCTCATCTCAAAATGAAAACGAGTTCATCTATAATATGGCTTCCATGAAGCCAATCTACAACTGGATGAATATCATAATCCACCCCATGGTCTATTGCAGCTAACCAACACTTCTGAGAGCAAGCAGGTCATGCTTTTTATCCATTCCCAATCAAATTCAACCACTCTTCCCTGAATCTCTTTCCTTTTCCACGAATTTTGTTTTGCCATAGTTCCAGAATCGGTTATATGGTGGCCATGGCATGGCTTTTGTCATCTCACCTTCGATGGATTTCAGCCAGCTACTGAAACTTCATATTGGGGCTCTTCAACCCTACTAACGATGGCCTGTCTACAAACCACTCTTAGCGGTCGAGGTTGATACTGTACAAAGCCCTCATTTTATGACATAGATGGAAACCATGTGGGAATGATGTGAACGGCTTGGTTTCTAATGAATCTGCTACAGCAACTTATTATTCGAATGAAGAAGGGAAGACAAAAGCTTGGTGCTCATGAGTGGAGATCCAATACAGGTTGGATAGACTACGATGGTGCTGAAAAATTACTCAATGTCACTCTCTCTCCTATTCGAATCGCAAAACCAGAAAGACCTCTCTTGTCACAGCCCCTCAATCTTTCTGAAGTTTTCCTGGAGTCTATGTATGTCGGTTTCTCAGCAGCAACTGGCACAATTACAAGTGACCATATATTCTAGGATGGAGCTTCAACAGAAGCGGACAAGCACTAACCTTGATTTCTCCAAGCTTCCTCCTGTTCCTGCACACGGGAAAGCAAGTAAGAAACGTGGACTACTGATGATTGTTTTGATTGTAGTAGCAGTGGCTGTGTTGTTGATAGTAGGCATTATAGCTGCTTAATTGTATGGAAAAGAAATATGAAAGAGTATGTGAAGACTGGGAAAGGGAATATGGTCTCAAAGGTTCCCCTACAAGAATCTCTATAAAAGCAACCAAAGGTTTCAAGGACAAAGAACTTATTGGAAAAGGAGGTTTGGAAAGGTTTATAGAGGCGCCTTCCTTCTAATGAACAAATCGCAGTCAAGAGAGTCTCTCACGATTCGAAACAAGGGATAAGGAATTTGGGCTGAGATTGTTAGCATGGGAAGGCTAAGGCATAGGAACTTGGTGCAACTCCGTGGCTATTGCAGGCGAAAGGGGAATTTTTTGGTCTATGATTATATGCCAAACGGAAGCCTGGACAAATTATTATACAGCAATACAGAGCCAAACTTAATTGTTTCAGCGATTCGAATCATAGAGGAATAGCTTCTGCCTTCTCTACCTCCAGAAGAATGGGAACATTGTCTACATAGAGATATAAAACCGGTAATGTTCTTTTAGGACGTGAACAAATGGAGGTTAGTGATTTTGGCCTAGCTAAACTATATGACCACGATAGCAATCCCGCAAACCACTAACCTGTGGGAACTGTAGGTTATTTGGCTCCAGAGCTCATTAGAACTGGAAAGGCAACTACCAGCACGGATTATTTGCTTTTGGGGCTTTCATGCTGAGGTGGCTTGTGGAAGGAGGCCTGTAGAGCAACAAGGTTATGGAGTGGTATATTTGGTTGAATGGGTAATCAATTGCTGGAAAAGAGGAGCTATCATCAATGCCAGTGATCCAAGATTAGAAGGTATTTATGCAGAGGAGCAAATGGAGTTGGTACTGAATCTAGGGCTGTTTTGTCACACCCTAACCCCGCAGCAAGGCCTAACATGAGACAGTTGATGCAATATCTGGACGGCGATGCTACATTGCCAGATTATCACCTAATAGCAGTTCATGGATGTGTTCATAATAGTAATGACACTTATGATAGTGGGATGTCATTTCCTTCATTGTTCGAAAGTAGTTCTGCGCAGACCATGTCTACTGTGATTCAATCCTCGCAGAAGGTCGTTGAATCAAATATCTTACTTGCAATGAAGCCTTTCTTTGGACTAATCATGGTACATGTAAAAAGAAATATTGTTTCTAAAACTTTCTGCGAGTTTCTCAAACTGATAGTTCTTGTATCATTTTACTTGTTATCATTTTACAACTGTTGTTTCCCTTATCTACTGTAGTTGTGCTAATAACAGTTGTGGAGCTGTTTACATTGTGAGGAAGAGAAATAAGAAGTATATGAGGACTGGAAAAAAAATAGTCCTCATAGGATCTCCTATAAGATTCTCTACAAAGCAACAGAAGGTTTCAAAGACAAAGGCTCATCGGACAAGGAGGTTTGGAAAGGTTTACAAGGCGTACTTCCTTCTACTAATTTGCAATGCGGTCAGAGAGTCACTCACGATTCAGTTGGAGGATAAGCAATTTGTGGCTGAGATTGTACTCATGCGAAGACTAAAGGCACAGGAACTTGGTACGACTCCTTGGCTATTGCAGGCGAAAGGGAGAACTTCTATTAGTGTATGAGTATATGCCTAATGGAAGCCTGACAAAATCTTATTGAAATTTGAAGCCAAACCTTAATTGGTTTCAGAGGTTCCGGATTATCAGGAGTAGCTTCTGGCCTTCTTTACCTTCATGAAGAGTGGGAACAAATTGTTCTGCATAGAGACATAAAGCCTGCTAATTGTTCTTTTAGATGTCATCTAAATGGAAGTTGGGAGATTTTGGCCTCGCTAGATTATATGATCAAGGCAGCGACCCACAAACCACCAAACTGAAGAACCATAGGTTATGTGCCTCAAGAGCTTCTTAAACTGGAAAAGCAACTACCAGTACAGATGTATTTGCTTTTGGAGCTTTTATGCCGAGGTTATTTTGGAAGGAGACCTATGGCTATGGAGCCTGGAAGAAAGATTTGTTGATTGGGTCACAGATTTCTTGAAAAGAGGAGCTATATTGATGCTAGTGACCCTAGATTGGAAGGTATATACGTTGAGGAGGAAATAATGGTTTTGAAACTAGGCCTCTATTTTTAGACTCTAACCCAGATAGGCCTCGCATGAAGCAGGTGAACAGTATCTTGATAGTGGTACGTGTTACCAATACACCACCTGGTAGCATTGTCAACGAACCTCCTGACATGTTGTGTCTTTAAATTCACTGGTGGGAGTAGTTCTTCTTACACAACTGCTACAAAGATTCAATCCCACAGCAGGTCGCTGATAATAATTTGTTATGCAATGGTTGATCTTTGGTCCATTCATGGCTGGGGAGTGGAGAAAAAAAAGCAATGACTAAGTGAGATATTTTTCTGCTCATGTAACTTCTGTGCATTTTGATAACTGGTAACATTACTTGTGTTCTAATTAAACTCAACGAAGTATTCGTGTAAAATAATCTGGTTTTCTGTTTCATAGACATCATTCTTATGTTCTAGTTTGCTACTACTGGAATGCAAATGGTCCGTAACAATGTCAGAATGAAATGCTATGATCCCTAAACTGAGAATCAAGAAATATGTATGTTGTAGTAGTTTTATGCAAAAGGAATCTTGGTAACACATGGCATTTATCCATCAGCATTTTGATACCTTAACTAATGCAAGAACAGGGGCGAGTCCTCTAGTTATTTCTCTTTGGCATGTTTTGATTTGTCACTGTACATAATTTGCTGGAATGAAATTTAGGATGTAAGCAAAATTGAACTTCTGTTTCCTAATTTTGATTCCAACATTCATGATCTGGATGTGAAACGTTCATTAGTGGGTCACATGTAGCATATAATATACCTTTTCCCTGGACAACGTGTAGGCAATTATCTACCTTTCAACTATTCAATCATTAGTGCTAAGATGGTAGTCTAAAAATTTCCCCTTCCCCATTTTATGTTAAAATTTAACTACAATTTCTCTTTTGTTTCCTTGAACGACTAGCGTTTTTATGTACCGTTCATGTCTGATTTTTGTGATCCATGTCGTGCAGTTTAAGTTCTGATAGACGACTAGTCTTTTGGGCTTATTTTCATACTAGTGGCTGAAGGAATGTCTAGCTCTAATTTTCAACGGCTAATCTTAAAATCCCCATCAGCTGCTCTTCGTTGACTCACTATGTTTCCACGTTCATATTTTTAATATCTACGCTCCTAACTTGTTCGTTAAAATTCCCAGGGTTGTTCTCATTATCATTGGGGCCTTACGCTTGAAATGCGCTACATGAAATGCAATAGCTTCCAAAATGACAAACAACATGATAACACAACCATAGTCTGTGAAAGGAAGAAGACAAATGTTTTTGGTTTTTAGAGCTGGAGTATACAAAGAAAAGAGGACCAAAAACTGACGTGAGAGAGAGCTGTAGAGAGAGAGAAAATCTGAACTGAAATTTGCTCTGTTTTACATTCAAAAAACAGGGGTGGATTTTACAAGGCACACGCCACTGTTCCCCTAAAGCTGCAAATTTAAAATTTAAACTAACCACACCACTAATGCACGTACAAACATATCAAAATACATCATTTTATCAACCTAATTCACCTAACACATCACTGAAATATTTCTTAAACAGTGACCAAAAACCAACTTCTGCATGCACAGCAGCATTTCAAACCGTGGCGCCAAACTGCAACTCCCACCATGCGTTGACTTCATCATTTCCAGCATGGTATCACCATTCAACACCTCCTCCTTGATATCATTGCTGGAACACCAAGTTGAGCTTTAATCTTCAAACTTGGCTTTGGACAAGGTTGGTTATATGCAGCATGTTCTGTCTCTATTAAAGAGAACTCCTCCTTCATTGTAGCTTCTCCACGCATCAGATTTGACTGCCATCTTGTAGCTGGTTGGTTCTAACTCAACCACATTGCACCTCTCATAAATTTCAGATATGGCTTTATACCTCTGACTGGAACTTCATCAACTTCATCTGAATTCACTTCTTCAATCTGACTTTTGGGCATTCTATCTTGTTGGAGCTTGGCCTGACTTACTTGATTTTTTTTACAGCCACATTCGCATCCACTTAACACACTCTCATTAACTATGTTAGCTGAATGGTTTTGAAAAACAACATTTCCCCACTCTACCGGGAAGCTTTTTCTTGCATCTAACTCTCATTAACTCATTCCCATCACATTCCATAATGACCACATGCTGAGTTTTTAAAATGAAGAAGTAATTCCTCTCAAGCATTTGTCCTACACTAAGTAGGCTTTGACTGATTTTTGGACAAAAAACATCAGATATAATCTTGGTACCTGACTTGGTTTGACAGAAACATTTCCCTTGCCTTTGACCTCCAGCACTCTCCATTTCCACTTTAACTTTAGACTTGTAGCTTTGATTTAAGCTCACGAAATTGGACATGTTTGGTGACATATGGTTGGTGCAACCACTGTCAATTAACCACACCTCTTGATCAACAAGCCAACACTCCTGAAGCCATAAACAACTGCTCAAGTTCTTGAGTCTGCTGTTGATTCTCCACTGCCTGGGATTGATGCTCCTGCTGCCCTCCTTTGTTCTTGCACACCCTTTCTACATATCCAAACTGCTTACAAGACCTACATTGTATGCCAGGCCTGAACCAACATCTATTTTCAGAGTGGTTCTTTTTCTTGCAGTGAGGACAAGTAGGAAAGGTTCTCAGTCCCGCATTTTTTTCTCCTTCGTTGTTAACTTCCTCTTTTCCCTTCTCCCAGCATACCTTCTGTTTTGGCTTGCTATCATGGCTCCTTCACTTGTGTCTTCCTGCCTCAGCAACCTCCTCTGCTCTTGTGCTTGAAGAGCATGCCAAGTTCGCTAAGC